CTCGCGAAGGCGCCCTGACACTGCCCACCAGGGGGGGGCAGAGGCCGGGCCTCGGGGGTCCTCAGTGAAGGCGCCTCGTCCCGCCCCCCCCCGCCCCTCCCGTCCCTCCTCCCCGCTCCGGGCCCCACCCGGCTCAGACGGCTCCGGACGCGCCGCGAGCACAGGCCGCTCCGGGGCGCCTCGGATCCCCGCGGGACCCCCACCGCCGCCCGCCCGGTCCACGTCTGCGCGCCCCCTCGGTGAGTGGCCCCCGACCGCAGCTGTCGCCTCCCAGCCCCCGCCCGCCCAGCGCCGCGCCTGCCCTGGCTCCAGATCGTTCCCCTGCTCGCCCAAGACCCTCAGTCCCCGCCCCCGCAGTGTGTAATGGTCTCCCCGCGTCCCCAGTCCCGCTGGAAACCTCCCTGGCTCCCCCTCTCCCCCAAACAGCCCCTTCCAGTCTGTAGCAGTGCCCCGCACTCTCCTCCTCCCTCCTAGTCCCCGCACTCCCCCATCCTCCCAGCCTGGGGAGATGCCTTCCTTGGGGGCTCTCCCACCACCGTCCCTTCCATCTCTGCCCCACGTGGTCCCTCCTCCTGCCCAAGAACACCTCTCTTGCCTCATCAACCCCATCCCCCGTCCAGCCACCCCCAAGCGTCCTCCCCGAGATGTCCCCCAGACCCCTCCCTGCCTGGGACGCCGCCCAGGGCCAACATGCCAGGCCCAGTTCACTGGCACTCCTTCCCTGCCTCATTTTCCCTTTTTTTAAAGTATCACTATGATTTTTATGTATTTTCACATATTTGATTTGCAATTATTTTTGATGCTCAAATTGTCCCCTCTTTGGCCAGTGGGAGCCCCCCCCCCAGGGTCCTGTGTCCCCGTGACACGCCCCATCCATCTTTGAGCACTTCCCGCTGTCTGATCTAGGCTCCCTTGTCCTTTCCCTGCCCCAGCCCTGGATCAGCCATTTCTCCAGGAAGCCCCGGGTTCTGTCAGTGGAAAATGGTATTTAGAGACTCCAGTCGGACCAAAAGCTGGTTCTGTGAAAAGATCAGTAAAATGATGAGCATCGACTTAGACTGATTAAGGAAGGAAAAAAAAAAAAGAGCAAAGACAGAAATGACTGATTTCAGGAATGAAAGAGGGGTCATCACTACAGAGCCTACAGAGAATGAAAGGCGACGAAGGGGGTGTAGAGAACACAGTCTGGGCGCTGGGGGTGTTCCTCGCTGCTGGGCTGGTAATTGTTTCTCTCCCTAACTCCTTAGACCCAGGAGCGCAGGCCCTGAGGTCAGGGGGGCTGGAGTGCTTGCCTTGAGCACTTTCTAGCTTAGTGATCTTGTGCAAGTCATTGCTGAGCCTCCATTTCCACGTCAGGAAGGTGGGGAGAACCATAGCCCCACCTTACAAGGTTGTTATGAAGATTGAATGAGTTAGAGCCGTGTCTGGCATGCCGTGGTTGTACACGTTGAGTTATTATTGTGAACGCCCAAGGCCCCTCATGACCTGGGTACACCTGAGCAACTTCTCAGCCTCATTTCTTTTCTTTTCTTTCCTTTTTTTTTTTTTTTTGTGAGGAAGATCAGCCCTGAGCTAACATCTGATGCCAATCCTCCTCTTTTTTGCTGAGGAAGATTGGCCCTGGGCTAACATCCGTGCCCATCTTCCTCTACTTTATACGGGACGCCGCCACGGCATGGCCTGACAAGCGGTGCATCAGTGCGCGCCCAGGATCCGAACCCGCGAACCCCGGGCCGCCACAGCAGAGCACACGCACCAAACCGCCTGTGCCACCGGGCTGGCCTCTCAGCCTCATTTCTTACCCCTCTCCTCGTGCCCCTGTGTCCAGCCACACCACCCTCTCTGCCTAATGCCCTTGTCATGCCCACTCTTCAGGGAGCAGCTCAAAAGTCAGCCTAGCCAGAGCTTTGCTGATCCTGTGGTCAGTTCATCGTGTCCCTCTCTGGTGCCCACGTGTCCACTGCCTGGCATTTTGCAGGCATCACTGGCTGCTTGGTACCCAGGTCCTCTCCTCACTGGGGGCTCTGAGTGGGTAGGGACTGGTTTCTGGCCTATTTCTGGGTCCACAGCTCCTGACACATGGAGCGATTTCAGTGAAAATGTGTGAAATGATGGACGGGGGAAGGGAAGGCGAAACGAATGAAGGATTGAAGGCAGATATTCTCCCAGGCAGCTTCCGCCTCCTTCCCTAGGTCTTCCCCCATGGATCCCCATTCTTCAGGCTTCCCACCGTTAATCTCTCTCTCTTCCTCCAGCTGGAATAATAGCCTTCTTCCTCCATGAACAATCGACTTCTGCCATTCCCATCAGTGCTCTCTGCTCCTCCCCCCTGCCCATTCCACCATCGTCCTCCTCCACCCCTGCCACCTTCCGGCTCCCTTCCTCCTCCTCCTCCTCCGCCAGGCAGTCCCCCATCAACACCCTCTCCTCCTCTTGCAGGCAGCTCCCCCCTTGCGCATCTCCCTCAGTGGCGAGCCCAGCGGGCAGCGTGCGGCCACCATGTTCAGCTGGCTGAAGCGGGGCGGGGCGCGGGGCCAGCAGCCCGAGGCCATCCGCACGGTGACCTCGGCCCTCAAGGAGCTGTACCGCACCAAGCTGCTGCCTCTGGAGGAACACTACCGCTTCGGGGCCTTCCACTCGCCGGCCCTGGAGGACGCCGACTTTGACGGCAAGCCCATGGTGCTGGTGGCCGGCCAGTACAGCACGGGCAAGACCAGCTTCATCCAGTACCTACTGGAGCAGGAGGTGCCCGGCTCCCGCGTGGGGCCCGAGCCCACCACCGACTGCTTCGTGGCCGTCATGCACGGCGAGACCGAGGGCACCGTGCCCGGCAACGCCCTCGTCGTGGACCCGGACAAGCCCTTCCGCAAACTCAACCCCTTCGGGAACACCTTCCTCAACAGGTGTGCAGCCCAGAGCGAGGGCGCATCTTCCTCTTGTCCCCGGCCTCCATCTCTGTCCCCTCCCCGCCTGTGTTTCTCTCCTTTTCAGCCCCAATTCTCTTCTCTCTACCTGATCCTTCCCTTTCCTGCCTCTGCTCTCCTGCCTTCTCTAGGGGAGCAGGCAAGCCAGTGGGCCAGCCTGCCTGGGTTCATCTCCTGTCTAGCTGGGTGGCCTTGGGCAAATGACTTAACCTCTCTGGGCCTCTCTTATCCTCATCTGGAAAATGGGGATACCCATAGTCCTCCCTCCATAGGCTTGTTGTGAGGACTAAATGAATACATATAAAGTGCGTAGAAGGGCATTTGGCACAAAGTAAGTGCTCAGTGAACGTCAGCTCTGATTTTTTATAGTTATTATTCTCTGTTGCAATCTTTCTTTTCTCTCTCAAGGTTCTTTCCTTCTCTGTACCTGATTCACCTCTGTGCAGTCCTGGTGTCCCTTCTCGTGTCTGCTCTCCTCCTGCCTCTCCCTGCGCTGACCCCTGACCTTCCCTCCACCCCAGGTTCATGTGCGCCCAGCTCCCCAATCAGGTCCTGGAGAGCATCAGCATCATTGACACCCCGGGCATCCTGTCGGGCGCCAAGCAGAGAGTGAGCCGCGGTGAGTGAGGCCTGGCTCCCGGGTCCCAGGGAAGAGGGGCTGGGGGCGCCGGCTCCTGGGCCTGGGGGAGGAGGGGCTGGGGGAGCAGGGGCTGGGGGCCTGGCCCCCCGGGTCTGAGGGAGGAGGGGCCCAGGGTCTCCGCTAGGACTTGGGCCGAGTCCGCGGCCCTGAGCTGGCCGGGCGGCAGCAGGGAGCTGGGGAGGCCTGTGCCTCCTCCATGCTGGCGCACGTCGAGGGTGGGGAGGCCTGAGGGTGAACACGTGTGCGCAGGCTGCAGCTGCGTGTCTGGGCGGGTGGAAGGACGGAGAAGCAGCGATCAAGAAGGACACCGAGTCAGAGACACAGAGGGATTCGGGGGCCGAGGCAGCAAGATTCAGAGACACAGGAGCCCCCGAGAGGAGGCCGCGCCGGGGCGGGGAGGCCCTGCGAGCTCCATCCGCGCCTCAGAAGGGGCAGGGAGGGGGCGCTGGGCGGGGGCCAAGGCCGGGCCTGGAATCCATAAACAGCTGTGCAGGGGGAGCGGCGGGGGGTGGATTCCCGCGGGGCCCCCCCCCCCGCCCCGCGTGGCCTCGGAGCCCGGGAACTGGGGCAAAGGGGGCGGCAGAGCGGGGCAGAGGGCAGCGGGGGCGGGGCGGCGGGGGCTCCGGTGTCCCTGGTCGCTGCCCAGCGGGCGCGCATCCCCGGGGAGAGGGGAGGCGGCTGCAGAAGCCCTGGGGGGCGCGCTGCCAGCCCGCGGGGGAGGCGCGGCCCGGGAGTTCCTGGGGGGCTGGGCCTGGGAGAGCAGGCGGGAGCGGGTCTCCAAAGCAGGCTCCCCCGCCGGGCGCCCCAAAGGCTGTGGGGCGGGGGAGAGAGCAGACGGGGGGGGGGGGTCTCCTTCCCTGGCAGTGGGGGGGAGAAAGACGGGGAGAGCCTGTCCCTCTGTCTGTGTGGATTTGTGTGTGTACGTGCGCCTGCGATTGTGGCTGGGTGTGACTGTGTGTGGCTCTGAAGGACTGTGGGGGACTTCGTGGGATTGCCGTGCGACTGATTGTGGCTCTGGATGCAGTTGTGTTGTGAAATGTGTGCATGAGTGTGTGTGCACAAGGGAATCTTTTGTGGAACTGTGATAACTTAGTGTGTCTCTGGGAAAGTGTATAATTGTGGGTGTGACCCTGAGGTTGTGTGTGTGTGTGTGTTGGGCTGTGCTTGTGGTCGTGCCTGTGTGTGATTCGGTGTGGCCGTGTAGGGCTGTATAGGACTGAGGGGAACTTGTTGGATTGTGTGTGATTCCATGTCATTGTACTTCTGTATACGGTGTGTGCAAGTGAGTGTGTATGTGCGTGCAAGAGTGTGTTTTCGTGGAACTGTGTGTGATTGTGTCTGTGTGGGTGCCTTTGGATCTGGAAGGGTGTGAAGGTTGTGTGTGTGTGATGGTGGGTGTGCAGGTTCCTTCTGTGCTTGTGCATTCATGCTGGTGTCTGTTACTTTGTGCGGGGCTCACAGTATCTTTGTGATTGTGTGACCACGAATATCTGTGTAGAGCAAGGGTGTGTGTTGGAGTCTGCATCTTGTAGCTTGTGGCTGTGATTGTGTCCAGGTGTGTGTTACTGCCTGCAGGCCTATGTGTATGCACACGTGTGCGTGCATTGGAGGGATGTGTGGCTGCCTCTGCGTGGAATATCTGTGAACACACACCTGATTGGAGCAGAGTGCAGCCCTCTGGCGGGGTTCAAATCTGGGCTCTGCTACGTTTAAACTGTGGGACCTCTGGCAAGCCACATAACCGCTCTGTGCCTCAGTTTCCTCATCTGTAAAATGGGAAATAATAATAGTGTCAGCCTCATAGGTTGCCCTGAGGGTTAAAATTGAATGTCACACATGCAAAGCACTCCCAACAGCGTGACACACGTCGGTGCTCCAGAAACGCTAATGATGACTGTTGGTCCTATGTGAGGGCCGCTGTGTGCTGAGGTCCTCTCTGCCACGTCTCCCATTCCACGCTGACTCAGCCTCGGCCCTCCTGCCCGCCCCGCATGAGACACACTTTCCAGATCCCGGCCGGTGTGTGTGTTTGTGCAGATGTTGGGGAGGGAAGGGGCCCCAGCTGCCGTCCCTCCGGTGACTGGTCCTTCCTCCCCACGAACAATGTCACCCACCCCCACCCCGTCCAGTCCCCAGCGGCTGCAAGGAGCCGGCTTCCTTCTTGGCGGGATGGCCCCGGCACCAGCTCCCCAGCGGAGCGCAGAGGCCCAGGGGCTCCTGCTCTGTCTCCTCCTGCCTGTGTGTCTTGAGTAAATCCCTTCACCTCTCTGTGCCTCAGTTTCCTCTTTTGGAACATGAGGGTCATAAAAGTGCCTGTCTCCCGGGGTTGCTTGGAAGATTTAATGAGTTAAGTCGGGGAGAACGTGAAGTGACATCAGGTGAATCACCAACGGCTCCCTGTTCTGCCAGTTAACATCCTCCAGGTCGTCGCTCTGTGTTCCCTCCTCCTCCGGGAAGCCCTCCCTGACCCCCCAGCCTGGGCCAGGCGCCCACTCTGGGCTCCCCCAGCTCCCGGGGCTCCCCGACCCCAGCCTGACCACTCTGGGGCTGGCTCTGTGTCCCCAATGGACTGTGAGCCCAGGAAGGGCAGGACTGGGGCTGCCTGAGCCACACTGTGTCCCCGGCACAGAGCAGGCAGCTAATGGACCTGGGAGTGGG